TCCCCAGCCCCTTCCAGTCTCTGGGCGGCGGCGTCCCTCGAGGGCGCCTGGCCTCAGCGAGGCTGCTGTTGCTCCGGCCCTTTCAGCTCCCTCCCCTGCTGGCTTCCAGGCGAGGGGCCTGGCTTATGCACCCCGAGGGCGCGGTGCCCCCTCTGTGGCCGGTTCAGGACAGTCACCGCCAGGACATAAATTCCTTCCCCGTCTCCTTCCTCAGCGCACTGGGCCCCGCCTGCCTTCGCTGCCCCGGGAGGAGGGGTTGGGGGGGCGAGATTAACCCCAAAATGCCTGGTCATCAGCTTTCAGTTCCTCAGGACTCGCTCTAACATGGCAGGGCTGTTGGGTGAGGCAGCAAAATAGTAACGGTACAGCCCGGCCGGTGTGGCTCAGGGGCTGAGCGTCGACCTAGGAACCAGGAGGTCAGGGTTCGATTCCCGGTCAGGGCACAGGCCCGGGTTGTGGGGTCCATTCCCAGTGGGGGGCATGCAGGAGGCGGCCGATCCAGGATGCTCTCTCATCATGGATGTTTCTCTCTCTCCCTCTCCCTTCCTCTCTGACATCAATACAAGTATACTTGGGAAAAATAACATTTGAAAAAGATATTCACGGCATGGAACAGTTAGTCCGCATTCAGCCAACGTGAATTGATGTGTTTTTTGTTTTTTTTGCTTTTCCTTTTCGAACAGGACAACCTGCAGGGGTACAAGACCCAGAACAAATTCCTCAATAAGGAAATCTTGGAGCTCTCGGCGCTGCGGAGAAACGCGGAGAGGAGGGAGAGGGACCTGATGGCCAAGGTGGGCTCGGGGTGGGGGGGGCTCCCCTCACCTGGTGGGGGTGCAGCTTGGAAGCCATTTGGAAATGGACTCGTTTGGCCCTGGCTGGTGTGGCTCAGTGGGTAGAGCGTCGGCCTGCGGACTGAAGGGTCCCGGGTTTGATTCCCGCTCAGGGCACAGGCCCGGGTTGCGGGCTCCATCCCCAGTAGGGGGCGTGCAGGAGGCAGCCAATCCGTGATTCTTTCTCATCATTGATGTCTCTCTCTCCTGCTCCCTTCCTCTCTGAGACCAATAAACATATATTTAAAAAGAAAGAAAGAAAGAAAGAAATGGACTCGTTGGGAAACCAGTTCAGGGCGCAGGCTGGAGGGACGTGGTCGCTGGCGCCAAAATGTAGTTAAAATCCACGGGGTGCGGACGCCGCGTGCTGCGTCGCTGTGCCGGGCGAGGCAGGCCGTAGAGATTGCAGGCCAGTTAACTGCAATTCCGAGCCCCGAATTAAAGCTATTTGGTTTTTTTTTCTTTAAGTCCTCACCTGAGGATGTTTTCCCCATTGCTTCCTTTTAGAGAGAGTGGAAGGGGCATTCTTTTTAGCGTCTCCAGCTCACTTCCTGGTAATTCAGGGAGAGGGAGGGAGGGAGGGAGGGAGAGAGAGAGGAGCATCGATGTGAGAGACATCGACGGGCTGCCTCCCACACAGGCCCCGGCCGGGGCCAGGGAGGGAACCTGCGACCCAGGTACGAGCCTGTAACCAGGAATCAAGTCTGCTGGGGCTGCCGCTCTAACCATTGAGCAACCGGCCTGGCCAGGGTCATTTGCATTTTTTAAAATATATTTTTATTGACGCAGAGAAGAAGGTAGAGGGAGAGAGAGAGAAACTTCAATGATGAGAGGATCATGGATCGGCTGCCTCCTGCACGCCCCACTCTGGGGATGGAGCCCACAACCCGGGCCTTGCCCTGACCAGGAGTCAGGAATCGAACCAGTGCCCTCCTGGCTCACAGGTGGACACCCAGCCACTGACCCACACTGGCCGGGCCGGGGTGTATTTGATTTCCCTGACAAAGTGGCCGTTGGGAGCTGGTCCTGGGTCGTTGTCCTTAGGATGTGTCGATGGCACATGGGGAGGCTGTGCGTGGCCCGTATGTCAACTGGCACCCGGCGTGCCCTCCGCCACGGCCTGTGGCCTGCTT